TTTTTTAAGCCAGCTATGAATCCCTGCTGAGTAATCACTTTCACATCACTTTGGTGAAGGCCCCAGATTACCAGAAAACAGTTCTGAAGATCTTAGCTTTAAATAGAGTTTTGTTTACTAAGTTAGAGTGGAAAGTGATGCTCACTTCATTTTTCTGCTGAATGCCTCTCTGATGCTGATAAAGTGTAGCACAGATGAAACATCCTAATTTTACACTGGAAAAAAAAAGTGTTAAAATGTGAAATTCAGCAGCGATACCCTCAAAAGGCACTATAATTCTGTGTCCACACCAACTTTGGCTCTCCAATATGGCTAAATCTGAAAACAGTGGTCTCATATTGCAGTTTGGACAAAGGTGTTACAGAAACCATGACGTGCTCTGTTGTTTAGCAGAAAACGGTCTTCTACAGTGACACCATACAGCTGTTGTCGTTCTGTGTTTATGATGTGAAATTACTGCGCAGGCATAAATTGAGGGACATTAGTGCAACAGCAGCACTGTACTGTGGTAGTTTTGTATTAAATTGAATGTTGAAACATAAAATAAATGACCATCAGTGGAGGGTTAACCTGATGAGACCACTTTGAGGAACTGGAAGTTTCAATGAAAGTTTACGTTTTCAGGAAGAAAGCATTGTGCCACTGTTGTAAAAGGTTGAGACTGGAGACAAAAAGTTTGACAATCATCTTTTCAAAAGATGGTAATGTTCCAAACACTTAACATATGTTATATGTACTGTCTAAATGTATTGATCCTTCCCTTACAATCAGGAAGTGGTGCAAACAAAAGAAACTTGTGCTACCATTTCAAGTGTACCATCAAAGGTAGCTCAGCATTCATCAGATGTAAAACACCCAAAGCTTCAAAAGGTCTCCTTCAAGCGATGAAGACCAGCAAGTATGTCCAATTAAACATACATGCAAGTGTAGTACTTCAGACTCTCATCCGACTCTCTTCTGTCACAGCTATTTTAGTGGAGTAGACCCTTACAACGCACTTCACACACAGGGAAAACCCAGCAATGATGCGTGTGTACTCGGCAAGCAAAAGGACAGCCAGTACCATTTCACCCTTGCACAGTACAAAGTGCTCTTTCCATCTCTGAAATCCTAGACGGGTGGGCCATCACAACAGCGTGACAGTTATGCAACAAAACACCTGACCATTCAGATGCCACAGCCGTACCCACTAGGATCCAGATATGGCTGCTTCTGTGGGCATTTACTACAAAGCAAAATGTAACACGAGAAACAGAGTACAGTTACGTTTGTGTGTGAGGATATAATTTAATCTAGTCTATTAAATTGGTATTAAGAGATTGTACTTTTCCTCAAATTACATCCAGGTTCTTTGGTAAACAAACTCCTAGTTTGCACTGTATATTTTGCACTGATAAAGTGAATTTAAATTCTGCTGACACATAATGTTCAAATAAAGGTCTTGTGGGCCTCTGTAGGGGCTTGGGTTGTTCAGTGGGGTTTCAGGGAGATTGTGGTCCAACTGGAAAATCATATATCCAATAAAACAGTTCATACATTTGATACACCTGAGCAAGTTCTAAAAATCTGTTAGCCAAGGAGATTTACAAACCCAATTCAGACTTGACTCAGTCCTCTTCAGAACATGCTGGAAATGTATTGGCAAGGCGTTCATGAGCATGTTAAACACTTATGGGGGAAAAAAAGAACATGTACAATTCCTTGACAACTAGGAAAACTTCATCTTCTTAGATTATGTAATACAGACAAATCTCTGGAGCAGCTCGTAAATGTACCTTGTAGTGAGATTGTGTCGCCAGCTGCTATTTTCTGTGGCAACAATGAACAATTTCAAGGCCAGGAACCTAATTTAAAACTTGATCCCTATATAGAGAAGCTATGAAGTCTCAGACCCTGTTTGTGTAGTTTGCATTGCCATGTGCACTGTAAATAATGCAAAAAGTGATAGTGAAGTCAAACTATAATAAAGGCTTTTATTTTGTAGGAGACAGAGTTGCTGCTGGTTTTATCACTAGCTGCAAGTTCATGCTGTGTCCAGCTGATGCCCATTCTGTTGATCTTTGGCAGTGTGTGAGAACATCCACAGCTTTGTCATCAATCCATAGTCAGGACCCATACTCTGCCCCTAAGGTTAGTTCAGTGGAACATTCTGGGCTCAGGTCCCAGAGAATAGTGGCATGTCAGCAAGCCCATTTAAATGAACAGGCTGAGGGTAGCAGTATGTTAGCAGTGCTGAGATGGGGGAGGGCACAGGACTGGAGTGCTAAAACTGGTGTTGTGTTAAACATTGCAGGGGTAGACCTAGGAGTGTGGCTCCCTGAAAGGTCTGGTGTTCCTGGATAGGCTCCAGGTCTTAGGAGCAAAATGAAGCCATCTTCTGCTGTTGTCAAGACTAAAACAACTGAAACAGTGGCTTTCTTCTTTTTATCTGATTCAAATGTTATTTGTTTAGTCCAGAAACATTTAGGCAAGGTGGAGTTGACCGTCTCTTCGAGCTTGGGATATCATGCATGACATGGTAGCTAGCCGTGTCTTCATATAGAGCTATTCTTGTAAAGTATCGGCTCTGCAATGCAGTAGCATACTAACAACAAAACTACTTGTGCACATGTAGTGCAGAGTTAACAATACTGTTGAACAAGTTAACAATACTGACACTGTTGGCAAAACTGTCTCTATGTCTCTGACATGTTTACGGAACAACAGTACATCTGTATCATGTCACAGCATTATGAATTAGTCTTTTTTTTTTATCCAGTGGACCTAATCACCTCACCTGTATGTCATTATTACAAACAGTTAGCTGCTGTGTAAATATACTGTATTTGTTGCACTGTTCTCACTCAACAGTGTGCCTTAGGAGTAGGGTGCAATGTTTTGTACAATTGTAACATTTTTGGCACCTGGATTATGATGGATTACAACAATGAAAAGACTGGAAACTGATCTGGCGTTACAAATCTGGTACTTATTCATTAAATGATCCTTAATTGGTCCTGGCATGTATTTAAAATCTATGGAAACTCCTGTATAATGTCTGTATGATCTGCAGTTCAGCTGAGGCCCATCAGTAGTAAAGTTAATACGTGGGTTCTGCTGGCTGGGCATAAACAACACCAAGCACTGGTTGGACTTCTGAAGGGAAGTGGTGATATAAGTGAAACCACAGAAAACAGAAGCCCACTAGTTTTTGTCTGCATGCTCCATGTCTGTGGATCAGCGTCAAACAGGAACACAAAGCACATTGTCTTGCCCTCCCATGAGGTTTTAGCTCCCTCACTTGATCACGTAAAGCAGCACTGAGGGGAAAAGTCAAAGTGACTTCCTCTTTTTAATGGTCATGAATTTTTTTTTTTTTTTTTTAGTTCCCGTATGTATTTTTTTTTTTTCTTCACGCAGTCACCCGCAGTCAGTCAGATGCCAGTTATTCTTCTGATGGTTTGTAATTTGTCTGCTTGTTGATAACACGTTCAATATATAATTATCCTCAGCTCTGAGTCTGGCATCCTGAACTCGGCTTGCTCACTGCAAGCTGCTTTATGTTAGCATTCACATCAGGTTAACCAGGTTAACCAGAACTGAACTTTTAACCAGTTGGTTATTGACCATTGTTCTGCCTACCTCCATTGCCACAAACTTTAATTTTGTTTTTTAGAAAGTATACTGTTTTGCTTGCCTTTCAGTTAAGGAAAGTTCTGCTGTTGTTTTTGGTTTGAAATAGTGAATCTGAAACTAAATGTAGAGTTATAAGAAGTCACACCAATAGCACAGTGTGACCCTGGACAGTAGATCTGATACTGAACCAGCTCAATGCAACTGAAAGTTCAGTTCTTCCGCTTTTCCTGCAGCTCCAAAATTGGTACAACTAGAAGATCATCATCCCGGCCCTTGTAACTTATATGAAATGGGCTGTCTTACTTTGAAAATTCATTATCAATAGTATAGCCAGTGTTCATTCTGCTTGGATTCTTGCATGTCATGGATTTTATTTTATTTATTTATTTTCCTAGACACTGGTCAACAGAAATAGCTCTTGCACGTAAAATTAAAACGCATGCCTACCAGTTTGTCCTATGAAACGTATGGCTACAACTGACTATTGTCATTATTGACTTTAGCTGACAATTAGAATGGTTACAGCTGTCTGTAAGATGTACTAGTCATTTATTAACCACAGCAGTTTTGTCATTATGACCTCGTTCCTCCTTCACATGATGACCAGACTTTAGCTTTTTTTAAATGATGGGCTGACTGAACAACAACACAATGGTAATCATTTCTGCCTTCCTGGCTTTGTCAGCCAAGGTGATAGCAGGCATGGTAACTGCTTTGACTTGAAGGATTGCAGCCCTTACATGTGTAGATGGTCCGCTTAATGGGTGGAGCAATGGCAAGGTTCAACATTTAATTTGGATGGAGAAATGGTGTTGCTCAGTTCACAGTATAATGTTGATATTACCATGCTTGTTTTCGAAACCTTTATTGGATTCTTGGTAGTAAACCCAGCCTGTAGGAATATAGTATAGACCACACAGTACTAAAAAGAGGTAATAGTTCTCCTTGTGCAAAATTTAGATTGTAATCTCATAGCTCTGAATAGAAAATGACATGAAATTGTGGTTTCTTTGTGACCAACAAAGGTTTTTATGTCAATCTTTCTCCATTCTGTGTTGAACTGCTTTTATGTAAGAGCCTGATGCATAGTCATAGTACCTGGTATTTGCCATAGCGCAACACAAAGAAAGAGTCAAACGTTCTAGAAATTATGGTGGATTTAACCCATCACATTCACAAATTTATTGCAGCTCTTTGTGCATTCCTTAAAAGTTAATATAATGCAATTATTTCTGCTTATTAAACAGATTACAGCTCTTATATAAGCAGTTCATTATGCAAATAATTTGAATTTACAACACTTTGTCTGGCAATATGGCTGAACTGAACCTTTTTCATGTTTACAAAGGAAGATATGTAATAATGCTATTATTTGTTCTTTATAGGTCCTGTCATCACAACCATTGATCAGATTTAATGGAAACCAAGGGGTAAGCACTTCTCTCTCTCCCTGCCCCTCATTGTCTCCTCCAGTCTAATGCAGGTACAGTTTTATGTTAATGAAAATAATAGAAAGTGTTTTTTATTTCTTCATAGGGTGATATTGCAGCTGGTGTTTCAGCAGGCAAGAGAGCATTTTGAAGCTCAAACACCAACTGACAAAAACACAGGCATGTTATTATGTCATCACTGGTGTGAGCTGCAAGCTGGGTTTTTTTTTTCCTTCCCAGCACAACACTTCAGTGCCACGTCTCAAAGTGACTGCTGTAGAAAGTAGCAAGAAAGACGCTGGCATAGCTGTTACAAATGTAACGTAATATGTGTCCTATGCTGTGTCAAAGTTGCTTGATCTTAATGCGCTGCAGTTGCTGTGACCTCTTTGGGCAGATGTTTCCCAGCCTCTTACACTACCGGCCACAAGATTTGGTTTATTTTGCTTTGGTTCTTAAATGTGTCAAACATCAGCTGGGCCCCTCAACATCTTTGTAAACCCTTGTATTTTATCAGCAGGCTCATGTTTCTGTCCATTGGCTGAGAATGACTCATTCCCTTTGAGACCTGTCCACAATACTGTAGTGTTTCTTAAAATATCGGACATCTAGTATTTGATGCGTTTCAGGTTTTATAAAATTGGATTGTAGCTTATTTGCTGGAGGGCCAGTGTTTAGTGGTCCGGTCAAGTGTCAACCAAATCACTTCTATCTACAATAGCATTAGTCATAATGCAAGCAAAAAAATCAGAACAGTTTGAAAACTGCGGATTTTCACTACTGCGTTCGCGTTAATGTTACCCCTGCCTTTTTCTTTGCTGCAATACAGGCAAACAAGGTGGCCAAAATGAAGAGACAAAATAGATAGTAAACAGTTTTTTATATCCTGGAATGCAAGCCAGTGTTCCTCTTTCTGCAAATGGTACTGCTTGGTAATGATAATTACACAACTCACACATGGGTACCAACACTCCCTATATCAGCAGTAAAATCTCAACATGAAGGCAAAATGCATCCTAGTTCTCACCGGCATTCTCTGTATAAGCAATGGATGGGTAAAATGGCAGGGTTTGCATGTGCCAGCCTGCCCAGTAGGACAGGCATAGACACTTACCGTATTTTCTGCACCATAAGGCGCACCAGATTATAAGGCACAGTCTCAATTACGGGGTCTATTTCTGTACTTAACCCATACATAAGGCGCACCGTATTATAAGGCGCATGCTAAAACGTAACGGAAGCAAAACAGTGAGTTTAGTTGAACTTTATTCTACTATTTAACAATACACTCACATTATTTTTTTAATCAATC